AGCAGCCGTCGGTGGTTAAAGAGGAGGTTCCCCCTGAGCAGCACGAGTGGAGCTCCAGTGTGGACCAGGAGGACCCAGAGCCTCCACACATTAAAGAGGAACAGGAGGAACTCTGGATCAGTCAGGAGGGAGAGCAGCTTCAAGGGCTGGAGGAGGATGATGATATCACCGAGTTCACATCCACTCCTGTCCTTGTGAAGAGTGACGATGATGAAGAGAAACCAGATCCAGATAGACATTTACAACCAGAATATGATGACAAGTTCGGAGCGCCTTCTGAACCAGACACTGATGACAGTGAGGATTTTTGGAAGGAGACCAGAAAACCTCAGTCAGGCTTAATCTTTCATGAAAATGATGAAGTCCCTGTCAGTGATTTGATTGTTGGTGAGAAACCATTTAGCTGCTCTGAGTGTGGGAAAAGATTTGGTCAAAGTGGAGATCTGAAGAGACACATGAGATCTCATACAGGAGAGAAACCATTTAGCTGCTCTCAGTGTGGAAAAAGATTCAGTCAAAATGGAAATCTGAAGAGACACATGATATCGCACACAGGAGAGAAACCATTTAGCTGTTCTGAATGTGGGAAAAGATTTGGCCTCAGTGAAAATCTAAATGTCCACATGAGATCTCATACAGGAGAAAAATCATTTAGCTGTCCTGGCTGCGAAAAAAGATTTCGCAGAAGTGGAGATCTGAGGACACACATGAAAATTCATACAGGAGAGAAACCATTTATCTGCTCTTTCTGTGGGAAAAGATTTGGCCGAAGTGAACATCTAAAGACACACATGAGATCTCACACAGGAGAGAAACCATTTAGCTGCTCAGAATGTGAGATGACATTTAGTCAAAGTGCACATCTGAAGAAACACTTGAAAACTCACATGGGAGAGGAACCTTTAACTTGCTTTGAGTTTCATAAAAGATGTGGTTGAAGTGAACATCTGAAGGACTATTCATACTGGAGAGAAACCATTTTACTACTTTAGGTTTGGGTAAGGATTTTTTTCAAAATGGAAATCTGAAAAAAAAACGAGATCTCATACAGGAGAGAAGCTGATCTGAATTTGGGAATAGATTTGGTCACAGTGGTGATTTTGAGGTACACATGAAATGTCTTACAGGAGAGAAATCTTTTCACTGCTGAGTTTGCGGAAAATCATTTAGACTAAGTTTAAATTGATGTACACATATGAGAATTAATGAGGAAGGAAAGGGATTCAGCTGTTCAGTTTGTACAAAAATCTTTTACATGGAATAAGACTCTAAGAACACACAGGACCTCATATAAGAGACTGACCTTTCAAGTTCAGCGTTTGTATGAAATCTTTAACACTGACTGGATGGTTACACAAACACATGAACAGCCACACAGGAGAGAAACCTGTCAGCTGCAGTGTTTGTCACCATCAAAGATTCACTTAGCCTGAACAAGTCAGAAACCATCAGTGCAGTGTTTGTCAGTCCCAACAGGCTCATCAGATTCCCGAGTAGATGTTATATGACACTTACTATTAACTAGAAATAGGTAAGTTGCTACGTTTGGTAAAAAAAAAAAAAAAAAAATTGTTCACTCGAGTCTTACGCGACACTCGAAGATTCATGCGAAGAGAAACCTTTTAGTTGCTCAGTTTGTGATACAAGATTTTGCTTGTCATGTGAGGTTTAGTTTAGGAGATAAACCTTTTAGCTGAGCATGTTGTAAAAAAAATATTTCATACTCAGTGACCACGCTGTGACACACGAGAATCCCCAAAGAGGAGAAACTCTTCAGCCACTCTGTGTGCGGGAAAAGAGTTCAAAGGCAGCCACATGACAAAAGTCATGTATGTTTTTTTCCACCAGCAGCGGCAATAAAATTGCTGGTTCAGATTTAACTCTGGAGCAACAGAGGGTTGAAAAGGCTCTGGACATGTATGAAATGAGAACACCAGGGTAAGAATGTCATTCTTCTTCTGCTGTGAGCAAACAGCATTCAGAGTTGGGTATTGTTTCACCTTTAGAATTCCAATCCTGGTTGTTATTGATGACTCGAAACAGTTCTTTATATCAAATGAGCAAGAAAACAAGTAATATGTATTTCCTCATCAGTTAGGTTTTATTAACACTTCAGCCTATATTATAATATATGAAAGTGCGTATGCACAGAATATCAAGACGTTATGTTGTGCCTCTTTCTCTTTGCTCGCATGCTGTATGGAAAGGGTCCTCTAGGATATTAATGATTTCATCCATGCAGTCAGGTCAGATTAAACTTGAAGGAGGAATACTTCAGGTCTCATTTCTTTTCGGGTTAATGCTTTTCTTAATCCTTTGTTCTGATCCTACCTGGAGGGGAAAGAACTGTATATAGTTTGAGATATGATACACCTGCTAAACAACTTAAAACTGAGTCTTTCACAATGTTTGCTGGTTTATTAAACAACTTATTTGGACCTTGTTTTGTGAAATGTTTTGTAGCTTTTCTTTCCAAGTTCAATAATAAACTTTTAAGGTCAATGAACATCATTCTGTGAAGAGTGTCTTTCATTCATTTATCTATCTGCTTGTGTTTCTAAAGGACAGTCTGTAATTCCAGTAACACTTCTGGACTTTTATTTTGAAGCCCGTTAACTCGTTTACCCCGGAAGCTGTATTCTTTACTGTCGCTAACTTCACACTGTTTGAACAAGACGGCGTCTGGTAGAAAGGTGTGTTAGCAGAGTGTCTTTGTTGTGTTTTTAAAGTGTGAACATGTCTAAAGTCCAAATGCTGAGAGCGTTGGTGAAGCAGCGACTAACTGCGGCTGCTGAAGAGATATTTGGGCTGGTTGAAAGAACGATAGCAGAGTACGAGGAGGAACTTTGTCGATCAAAAGAGGAGAACGAGCGACAACGTAAACTACTGGACGCTGTTACCAACTCTCAACTTGGGTTACACAGAGCAGGTTTGTTCATTAAACATTACAAGTTCATTATTAATGATATAACTGCAGCTTTGTTCAATAAATATTCAGTCTGTCGATGTTTATACGCCGCGTTAGCTTCTCTGGGCCCTATTTCAGAAAGCAGGATTAGTGAAAACTCTGAGTATGTTCAGCCTGAGATGAGGGAAACTCCGAGTTTTCCGTTTCACAAAGGCAGTTCAGCATAACTCTGAGTCCGTTACTATGGTAACATACTCGATGAAACAAACCTGCTGGTTCGCAGGTTTGTTTCATCTCAGCCTGAGGCTGATCGCCCGCTGAGCGTGTGGCAGGAAGGAGAGACATGGCGTGTCCTTTTGTGAATAAAGTTTTCTGATGAGCGATAAGAACTTCCTGCAACAGATATTGAGGGTAACGTCGAGCTGCTCTAATGCTGGACCACATTATTATTGATCAAGCGTCTGCACATCCGACAACACAAGACACAGAGCTTCCGCTCGAACTACTTCCTGTTACCAACCTTTCAACCTGTTACCAACCCGGAGGAGTGTCTATATGAAAGGTACAATTTCACCTCACACTCTATCATTGATCTTAAAGGGATAGTGCACTCAAAAATGAAAATTCAGCCAATATCTACTCACCCATATGCCGAGGGAGGCTCAGGTGAAGTTTTAGAGTCCTCACATCCCTTGTGGAGATCCAAGGGGAGAGTGGGTAGCAACACAACTCCACCTAATGGAGGCTGACGGCGCCCCAGATTAAAACATCCAAAAACACATAATTGAAACCACAAAATATCTCCATACTGCTCGTCTGTAGTGATCCAAGTGTCCTGAAGCCCCAACATAAAAAGTTGTTTGGAAAAACGTCATCTGAACTCTGTTTTTAGCCTCATCACAGTCTGCAATGAGGCTAAAAACAGAGTTCATCTGATATTCTCCACAAATTAACGGTAAAAGAGAACCAGTATTTGTTTGTCCACTCCAAGCTGTCGGAGCTTCCACATAAAGTAAAGTCTTTGCTGTCCTTTGCTATAGATGGCGGCTGTATTTGAGTCCCATGACAGTTGTTTATCGATTACTGTCCCTAGATATTTATATTCATTGACAACTTCAATGCTTTCACCATCAATAACTACATGTTGGTGTGTGTCTCTGCTCAGTCTGAAATGAAAAAATAATTTCTTTTGTTTTCTTGGTATTCAGCTGAAGAAAAATAGCATGACACCAATTAACAAAATCATTCACACATCCTTGATAACCTGTTTCAGCCTCAGTTATCAAACCAATAATCACTGTATTGTCAGCAAATTTAACACTGAAAACATCAGATGAGTTCGCCCTGCATTCATTCATATATAGAGGAAATAAGACTGGAGAAATGACACTCCCCTGAGGAGCCCCAGAGTTTGTGCCCAGTGTGTTTTGCCTGTTTTTGTGGTTTTCCCTGGGCATAAATCAGAAAGAATCATCAAAGAGGAATCCCACAGAACTGCAGGTTTATTACAGTTTAATTAGAAATTAATCTATGTGGATACATTATGCAATGCTTTATGAATACTATTCATATATTCAAAGATTCCACGGTGTAACTGGCTCATTTATGGGACTCAACATCCCATCATGAATCCCTTTTGTTTGAGACCATGCTGCAAGGTGAGTGTGTTTGCTGATCCTGTAAGTTTATTTATCTTCTTTAACTTCAGCTTATATTGGAGTTATGCTATGTAGCGTGTGAAATAGAGTATGGTGAATGTGCTAGGAAAGGTAGTATCAGCATTGCTTCTACCTGGAGCTCGCATGTACGGAGCCTGGGTTTGGTTGAAGGTGGCAGTGCTGTTTGGGCTGAGAAAGCCATGTGTAAGTAAGGTAAAGGAGGTTATTGGTTGCTGTGGCGAGCAGTGAGACCTGGCATTAGGGGAGTGTCTCTGGGACGCCAGAGATCACTGTCTAGCCTCCTGGAGGTGTCGTGGGACCAACTGGACGAAACACTGGTGAAAGGAGGTTCCCACCCGATGACCCCAAAGACATGTTAGTTATCACTGCTCACTGGTCTGTATAGTTAAGNCAGTGACCACGCTGTGACACACATGAGAATCCCCAAAGAGGAGAAACTCTTCAGCCACTCTGTGTGTGGGAAAAGAGTTCAAAGGCAGCCACGACAAAGGTCATATATGTGTTTTTTCAACAGCAACAGCAGTAAAATTGTTGGTTCAGATTTAACTCTGGAGCAACAGAGGGTTGAAAAGGCTCTGGACATGTATGAAATGAGAACACCAGGGTAAGAATGTCATTCTTCTTCTGCTGTGAGCAAACAGCATTCAGAGTTGGGTATTGTTTCACCTTTAGAATTCCAATCCTGGTTGTTATTGATGACTCGAAACAGTTCTTTATATCAAATGAGCAAGAAAACAAGTAATATGTATTTCCTCATCAGTTAGGTTTTATTAACACTTCAGCCTATATTATAATATATGAAAGTGCGTATGCACAGAATATCAAGACGTTATGTTGTGCCTCTTTCTCTTTGCTCGCATGCTGTATGGAAAGGGTCCTCTAGGATATTAATGATTTCATCCATGCAGTCAGGTCAGATTAAACTTGAAGGAGGAATACTTCAGGTCTCATTTCTTTTCGGGTTAATGCTTTTCTTAATCCTTTGTTCTGATCCTACCTGGAGGGGAAAGAACTGTATATAGTTTGAGATATGATACACCTGCTAAACAACTTAAAACTGAGTCTTTCACAATGTTTGCTGGTTTATTAAACAACTTATTTGGACCTTGTTTTGTGAAATGTTTTGTAGCTTTTCTTTCCAAGTTCAATAATAAACTTTTAAGGTCAATGAACATCATTCTGTGAAGAGTGTCTTTCATTCATTTATCTATCTGCTTGTGTTTCTAAAGGACAGTCTGTAATTCCAGTAACACTTCTGGACTTTTATTTTGAAGCCCGTTAACTCGTTTACCCCGGAAGCTGTATTCTTTACTGTCGCTAACTTCACACTGTTTGAACAAGACGGCGTCTGGTAGAAAGGTGTGTTAGCAGAGTGTCTTTGTTGTGTTTTTAAAGTGTGAACATGTCTAAAGTCCAAATGCTGAGAGCGTTGGTGAAGCAGCGACTAACTGCGGCTGCTGAAGAGATATTTGGGCTGGTTGAAAGAACGATAGCAGAGTACGAGGAGGAACTTTGTCGATCAAAAGAGGAGAACGAGCGACAACGTAAACTACTGGACGCTGTTACCAACTCTCAACTTGGGTTACACAGAGCAGGTTTGTTCATTAAACATTACAAGTTCATTATTAATGATATAACTGCAGCTTTGTTCAATAAATATTCAGTCTGTCGATGTTTATACGCCGCGTTAGCTTCTCTGGGCCCTATTTCAGAAAGCAGGATTAGTGAAAACTCTGAGTATGTTCAGCCTGAGATGAGGGAAACTCCGAGTTTTCCGTTTCACAAAGGCAGTTCAGCATAACTCTGAGTCCGTTACTATGGTAACATACTCGATGAAACAAACCTGCTGGTTCGCAGGTTTGTTTCATCTCAGCCTGAGGCTGATCGCCCGCTGAGCGTGTGGCAGGAAGGAGAGACATGGCGTGTCCTTTTGTGAATAAAGTTTTCTGATGAGCGATAAGAACTTCCTGCAACAGATATTGAGGGTAACGTCGAGCTGCTCTAATGCTGGACCACATTATTATTGATCAAGCGTCTGCACATCCGACAACACAAGACACAGAGCTTCCGCTCGAACTACTTCCTGTTACCAACCTTTCAACCTGTTACCAACCCGGAGGAGTGTCTATATGAAAGGTACAATTTCACCTCACACTCTATCATTGATCTTAAAGGGATAGTGCACTCAAAAATGAAAATTCAGCCAATATCTACTCACCCATATGCCGAGGGAGGCTCAGGTGAAGTTTTAGAGTCCTCACATCCCTTGTGGAGATCCAAGGGGAGAGTGGGTAGCAACACAACTCCACCTAATGGAGGCTGACGGCGCCCCAGATTAAAACATCCAAAAACACATAATTGAAACCACAAAATATCTCCATACTGCTCGTCTGTAGTGATCCAAGTGTCCTGAAGCCCCAACATAAAAAGTTGTTTGGAAAAACGTCATCTGAACTCTGTTTTTAGCCTCATCACAGTCTGCAATGAGGCTAAAAACAGAGTTCATCTGATATTCTCCACAAATTAACGGTAAAAGAGAACCAGTATTTGTTTGTCCACTCCAAGCTGTCGGAGCTTCCACATAAAGTAAAGTCTTTGCTGTCCTTTGCTATAGATGGCGGCTGTATTTGAGTCCCATGACAGTTGTTTATCGATTACTGTCCCTAGATATTTATATTCATTGACAACTTCAATGCTTTCACCATCAATAACTACATGTTGGTGTGTGTCTCTGCTCAGTCTGAAATGAAAAAATAATTTCTTTTGTTTTCTTGGTATTCAGCTGAAGAAAAATAGCATGACACCAATTAACAAAATCATTCACACATCCTTGATAACCTGTTTCAGCCTCAGTTATCAAACCAATAATCACTGTATTGTCAGCAAATTTAACACTGAAAACATCAGATGAGTTCGCCCTGCATTCATTCATATATAGAGGAAATAAGACTGGAGAAATGACACTCCCCTGAGGAGCCCCAGAGTTTGTGCCCAGTGTGTTTTGCCTGTTTTTGTGGTTTTCCCTGGGCATAAATCAGAAAGAATCATCAAAGAGGAATCCCACAGAACTGCAGGTTTATTACAGTTTAATTAGAAATTAATCTATGTGGATACATTATGCAATGCTTTATGAATACTATTCATATATTCAAAGATTCCACGGTGTAACTGGCTCATTTATGGGACTCAACATCCCATCATGAATCCCTTTTGTTTGAGACCATGCTGCAAGGTGAGTGTGTTTGCTGATCCTGTAAGTTTATTTATCTTCTTTAACTTCAGCTTATATTGGAGTTATGCTATGTAGCGTGTGAAATAGAGTATGGTGAATGTGCTAGGAAAGGTAGTATCAGCATTGCTTCTACCTGGAGCTCGCATGTACGGAGCCTGGGTTTGGTTGAAGGTGGCAGTGCTGTTTGGGCTGAGAAAGCCATGTGTAAGTAAGGTAAAGGAGGTTATTGGTTGCTGTGGCGAGCAGTGAGACCTGGCATTAGGGGAGTGTCTCTGGGACGCCAGAGATCACTGTCTAGCCTCCTGGAGGTGTCGTGGGACCAACTGGACGAAACACTGGTGAAAGGAGGTTCCCACCCGATGACCCCAAAGACATGTTAGTTATCACTGCTCACTGGTCTGTATAGTTAAGCCTTGCCATAATAGCTTATCATAGGGCTTAGGAGGTTATTCACCGAGTGCTGATCCTTTTCTAGAGCACAAACTTCTTGTGTTTATTTGAATTCAGAACTAGCCCAGCTAGTGACTGCTGTGAATAGGGCAGCTGACAACAAGGGAAAGACCATGTGACTGCTTGGAAAGACAGCTGACAGGAGGGAAAAGACCCCAAAGGTGCTGGCATGGGTTAGCAACCCATGGTAGCAGTGGTGAGGCCTAGCAGCCTTACTACAACCAAAATTAGCTACAGCCAACATAGGGAAAATACCCCAAGAGTCAGCGAGAGCAGGGGTGGAAGATGACTCACAGGTGGATTACACGGTAACAGACATTGGAACGGACACGACTATGCATTGGATCTGTGACTCAGTGAAGGATAGGGGCATGGACCTATCCAACAGGGCTAGAATTAGCAGCACTCAGGGCAAGGCGAGCGCATCTGTAGAGGATAAAAGTAGAACAGTTGAGAACAAGATGCTTCAGGTTTGTCCTTGCGGCTGGCAGAAAGTAACATCAGTGAAAGGCCCCAGAATTTATCAGGGAAAGAAGAAGTGTGTGGCAAAGAAAGGGCAGAGTAGCCGCACTGATCAGTACTTCCTAAGAAGTCAATTGAGTCAGTTGGATGAAGTCCAGCGGCAGGTAGAAAACCACAGTTCGCAGGATATCAGTAACGCTGCCACTGAGGAGGAGGAGGAGGAGGAGGAGGGGTAAGAGAGGATGCAGGTGATACTGAGGCCAGTATGCCAGTCAGAGAGAGAACCATGGAGCAAAAGGCTAGAGTTAGATGGCCTAGGGCAAATGACAGTAAAGAATGGGAGATAGTTAATAGAGATTTGTCAGTAATCTTGAGTAGGCTTAGAGGAAATGCAATAGAAAGGTTAGAAAAGATGGGAGATATAATTTATTCATATGGTGAAGAGAGGTTTGGGGTGCATGAGAGAAAGAGGAGTGAGAGGGTACAGTCAGGTAAATCTAGGCGGCAAAGAGAAATAGAGGAGCTAGTCAAGGAAAGGAGACAGTTAAGAAAGGTGTGGAGAAAGGCTACAGAAGAAGAAAGGGAGGGAATTAAGGTGTTGCAAGAGGAGTTGAGAAGGGCAGAGCATCTCAGGAAAAAGAGGAGGAAGAAGGAACATGCTAGGACAGGTTTTTTCAGGGACCCTTTTAAGTTTGTTAAAGGATTGTCCAGCCAGGAAAAGGGAGGGCAGCTTAAAGCAGAAAGGCTAGAGGTTGAAGAATATTTGAGGAAAACATATTCAGATTTAGAGAAGAATAAAATAGTAGGTTTCTCACCCGATATCCCTCCATTAGAAGGGATAGAGCATGAGATGGATGTCAGACCACCTAGGTGGAAGGAAGTTCAGGAGGTGGTCAGGCGTGCAAAGGCTTCTTCGGCCCCAGGGCCTAATGGAGTCCCCTACCAGGTTTATAAAAGTGCGCCTGATACCCTTAAATTTTTGTGGAAACAGCTAAGAATAGTTTGTGAAAAACAAATTATACCAAGAGCATGGCGTAGGGCAGGGGGTGTCCTCATTCCTAAGGAGAAGGAGTCTGTGGACCTTAGCCAGTTCCGGATGATTTCTCTCTTGAATGTGGAGGGGAAGGTTTTCTTTAGTGTAGTTGCGCAGAGATTAGCTAGCTACTTAGAAAGGAATAGCTTAATAGATACCATGGTGCAGAAGGCAGGAATACCAGGTTTTTCAGGGTGTTTAGAGCATACTAGCATGATCTGGCACCAGGTTCAGGCAGCGAAGATTAACAAAAGGGACCTACATGTAATATTTTTAGATCTTGCAAATGCATTTGGTTCAGTACCACATAGCCTCACTGTAAGCCAATCAGAGTCAGCAGAACGCGTTGTGGGGAGATGTCGGCTGCTGTGAGTGGTCATTGTTTTTGTTCTCCCTGAACCTTTTTTTCCACCCAGATTCATTTGAATGACGAACAACTTCCGGTAGTACGCGAACGGAGCGTGAATGAACAGCAGAATGCGCATTTTACAGCGAAAATAATAAGGTAAGAGCCATATTACAAATGTAATTTGGCAAAGAGATTTCTGTTGCTCTTTGGGCTGCAGCTCTGTGATGATTAAAGGGAGAGTGATTTGGAGTATACATGTGGAAATACAACTTTCATTTGAGATGAACGGCTTGTGTTTTGAATAACGTGTGGTCGAGTTAGAGCCTGAAATATACCGAGTGGGTCGGGATATTGGTGCTGTTGGAGTTAGTTGTTGTTAATTTAGTTGATGTTAAAACTGAGTTTGGGGCATGTAAAAAGTTTTTTACAGCCTTGTAGCTGAGGGTCTGCTGTTAAATTTGATGGGCAACATCACTATATTCTTCTGATCAGTGTATTGATACACACCAGGCCTTTATTAGCAGCTCCAGGGCTCAACAGGTTTTAACTTTTGACTGAGTTGCCGTTATGTTCACGTTCATAGCGCACAACGCAAAGTGTCTCGTACTTCAGCGGCATTTAAAATCCGCCATGGTTGTTGAAGATTGTCATTAAAAGCTTCAAAGGGCTCTTGATGCACACAATATTTTTGGGACAATGTTTCAAATACTTAACAATAAATTGTGCTAAATTTTTGGCTGTTTTCTGAGTGTTGTCCATAGTTGACTAGTCCTCGTTACAATTTTCATAAAGTGGACAGGAACATCCCTACCATTCGCCGTTTGGGCGAGGTTGTGGTTAGGGGGAAACAGATTTCGATGGGCAAACTCATTGACACAACACCAGCATTTTATTTACTCAGGCTGCCAGTAATCAAACATGATTTGCAGCAAACTCTCGCATCCCATGGACAATCATTCTCACATAATTCACTTTATCCTGAGCAAATAAAGAGCCACACTGTAGCCTCCAGACATGACAAGAATAACAGTACATGTTAATGACTGCTGTGTGTGTGTGTGTGTGTGTGTGTGTGTGTGTGTGTGTGTGTCTGTCTGTGTGTGTCTGTGTGTGTCTTCTGTGTCTGTGTCTGTGTGTGTCTGTGTCTGTGTTTCCTGTTTCCTTCAGAGCTCCAGTGTGGACCAGGAGGACCCAGAGCCTCCACACATTAAAGGGGAACAGGAGGAACTCTGGATCAGTCAGGAGGGAGAGCAGCTTCAAGGGCTGGAGGAGGGTGATATCACCAAGTTCACATCCACTCCTGTCCCTGTGAAGAGTGAAGATGATGAAGAGAAACCTCAGTCCTCACAGCTTCATCAAAGACACACTGAACAGATGGAAACAGAAGCAGAGGGAGAAGACTGTGTAGGAGCAGAACCAGCCAGGAACTCAGATCCAGATACACATTTACAATCTGAGACTGATGACAAGACTGGAGAGTCCTCTGAACCTGAGACTGATGACAGTGATGATTGGACGGAGACCAGAGAACCTCAGTCAGGTTTAAAATGTCTGAAAAACTTCCCTGTTAGTGATTTGATTGTTTGTGAGAAACGATTTAGCTGCTCCGAGTGTGGGAAAAGATTTGGTCGCAGTGAACATCTGAAGATACACATGAGATCTCATACAGGAGAGAAACCATTTAGCTGCTCTGAGTGCGGGAAAAGATTTGGTCACAGCGGCAATATGAAGAAACACATGAAATCACATACAGGAGAGAAACCATTTAGTTGCTCTGAGTGTGGGAAAAGATTTGGTCGCAATGGAGATCTGAACAGACACATGAGATTGCATACAGGAGAGAAATCATTTGACTGTTCTGAGTGTGGGAAAAGATTTGGAAAGAGTGGCGATATGAAGAAACACATGAGATCTCATACAGGTGAAAAACCATTTAGTTGCTCTGTGTGTGGGAAAAGATTTGGTCGCAGTGGACATCTGAAAAGACACATGAAATTGCATACAGGGGAGAAACCATTTAGTTCCTCTGAGTGTGGGAAATGATTTAGTCAAAGTGGAGTTCTGAGGGTACACATCAGATCTCATACAGGAGGGAAACCATTTAGTTGCTCTGAGCAGGAAGAGATTTGGTTGCAGTAGAAATTTAAAAAGACAGAGATCGCATACAGGAAAGAAACCATTTCATTGTTCTGTTTGTGGGAAAAGATTTAGGCACAGTGAAGATCGGAATAGACACATTAGAAAACTCTTTTATTTGGAAAAAGACTTTAAAACAAAAAAAACATGAGAACTCGTACAGGACAAACACTTTACAGCTTCAGTGTTTGTATGAAATCTTTTACACCAACTGGACAGTTACACAAATACATTAAATCCCACACAAGAAAGAGAAACCTTTCAGCTGCAGTGTTTGTCACTAAAGATTCACTTGCCCTTAACTCAGAAACTATCAATGTTTTGTTTGTTAGTCTGCTCAGCCTCATCAAACTCAAACTGAGGAGAGCAGAGAGGCAGAGCCTCCAGCCAGCAGCTCAACTACACAGATGGAACCAGAAGTTAACAGAGAGGACTGTGGAGGACCAGAATCAGCCAGGTACACATTTTCAACCTGAGACTGATGATAAGATGGAAGACTCTTCTAAACCTGCGACTAATGACAGTGACAATAGTTGGAAGGAGACCAGAGAACCTCTGTCAGTCAGTCATGTGACACTCAATACTAACCAAAAACAATTAAGTTACTCAGTGTGGGTTAAAAAGATTTGTCTGTCAGAGATGCTCAGTTTTTACAGTCCACAGCTCCTCTGCATAGTCTCTCCCATCTTTCCTTCTCTCATCTTATGGGCAGCAGCACTGTGCAGTCAAGGGCTGTACCTTGGGNAGTCCACAGCTCCTCTGCATAGTCTCTCCCATCTTTCCTTCTCTCATCTTATGGGCAGCAGCACTGTGCAGTCAAGGGCTGTACCTTGGGCTGATGTGGACAGGCACATCAGAGGGGACACTGCTGAGCGACCTTCATGACTCAGCCTTCATTTGGAATTGTGTTATCAGCTTTACACTCCCAGTTTGGAGAAGCAGACTAGAGAACAGGCATGGTTAGGTCGCTTCCAAAAGTCACACAACAACACAAACTAACTGTCCAATCGAAGGGCAGCTGATGACCAGTGACTCATTGTGTTCTGTGAGGTAAAATTACTGATTCTGTCAGTGGAGTCTGGTTGCTTTTAGGAGAGCATCATGTAACTGTATCAGTCTACCATCGTAAAGGGCTGTCTGACAGCAAGGTGAGGTGTTGAAAATACCCTTAACAAAGTGTTCTTTCACACTGGTGATCCTTTTTTTTCATGTGGCTAAGATAAGTTTGCTGCTGCCCCCGTCCAGTCACCAGACTCCTTTGATAGAAACAGCAATTTTTTTTCTACCTGGCTCTCATGCCATTTTTGGTCTCCTCTGTGTCCCCTCTCTAAATTCACAGCACACAGCGCAGGTGGAAGTCTTCATGATTTTTTTTTTAAGTCCTCCCTCCCTAGTGTGAAAGCGGCAGCAGCCAGGGGTGTAAATATAGACAGTACAGGTTGACTTGAGGGGCCGGGGATCGAATCGCTGATCTCGCTACAGTCGCCCACAATATTGTGCACTGTTAACTACCATACACAACTTTTAGTAGCAGCAGTGTAGCAGTAGTAGAAGTACTGGTAATGATGTGGTATATACCCCATGAAAATAATAAAGGCTCATTATTCATTTTCACCTGTTAAAAACATGAAAGGTGGGGGTTTAATTTTTTGGGAAATAGTGGCTTTTGTTTTGTAAAAAGAAAAAGGATTTAAAGGATGTTGAATGTGAAGGGAGAATATAACATGAGCAATATGTTATCTAAAGTAAAAACAACTCTTACCTGTGTTTTAAAGGGATCTGTCGCCATCTAGTGGTCAAAAGGAGGAAGCTTATTTTGACCCACAGGTGAAAACAATCATTTAGGGATTTTTCAAAGCACAGCCACTCCACCTGTGTGAACGAAAGGGAGTGTGGAGGAAAGAAGCAGCAGGAGATTTGTATCAAAGCTCTTTGTTGCAGCTTTTTGCCCAAGAGAACCTCAGACATGTCGGACAGATGTTTAACTCTGAGAGACATTTGGGGAATTTTACCCCATCTGGTCAAGAGCTCCACAGGAGTCCTCCTTTGATGACTGTCACCAAACANACATTTGGGGAATTTTACCCCATCTGGTCAAGAGCTCCACAGGAGTCCTCCTTTGATGACTGTCACCAAACACCTGGATTTTTCTAATGAAGATTCGAAGGAGGATAGCGAGAAACCACAGCAGAATATAGAGGTATAAGAATTGTTTTGTGTCACTTTGTAGTTCTTTTAGCCCTGTTTCCACCTTTGGAGACAAAAGTAACCCTTCAGACATGGCACCTAGACCCTAGATCCATTCAGTGGTTCCACTGCAAACCGTAAATGTGAGCGTGGGTTGTTGTCACTCACTGTTCTGTCCAGCATTCACTGTATTTCCTCATCACCATTGACTGAGATGGAACGTCTACACTTTGTTTATTAACAGGCTGCACTGTGAGTCTTTGCTGATGGCATATGTAAAATAGTTTGTGCATTTAGTCCTTCTCAGGCAAGCGCAGGTGGCCAGAGCCCACCAAAACGACACCCAATGTTTTTTATTTTTCTCCAGTTGAAATTAATTTTTATATGCTGAAGATCCACTGATTGCTAAAAGTCTGTGTCATCAAAGAGAGACAATAAAAACTAAAGTGATGGTCAAACTTGTCACATTGACATTAGTTAACATTCCACCTTAAAAGTTGCCGGCAGTCAGCCCAGTGAATTAAGTTTTTGGTTTTTCTTCTTAAGACTACAGCTGCTGCAAGAGGCAGCAAAACATCCTTTATTTTCATAATTAGAGAAAAATAACGTAGCCTACACAAGACTTGCAATGGTTTGAACAGTGGTTACAAAACCAGCCACAACTCAGCCCTGAGCAGAGTGACCATCTGCTATTGACCGATCAACAGACAACAGAGACAATAAAGTTCACTTTGACTATTGTCTGTAATTTTTTTTTATTTGTCGTCTTCTTGTTTCTCTTTGTGGTCTTTTTTTTTAAATTATTATTTGTTTGTTGTCATTGTGAGTCTCTTCCTGGTTGATACGTGTGTCAATATTCTAGAACAATTTTTAAGATGAAGGCCAGCTGGCCGCTGTAGGCCTGTCCAGTAATCCATCCATGGCAATAATTCATCTGAATGTTCAAGTTTGTGTCTGCTACAGGCATTCTTTACTAGCATTTTGTATTGCCTCAAAATAGCATTGTTTTCCAAAAAATGTCTTTCCCTTCAAGGTCAACGGTCATGTGAGGTTTAGTTTAGGAGATAAACTTTTTAGCTGAGCATATTGTAAAAAATATTTCATATGCAGTGACCACGCTGTGACACACATGAGAATCCCCAAAGAGGAGAAACTCTTCAGCCACTCTGTGTGTGGGAAAAGAGTTCAAAGGCAGCCACGACAAAGGTCATATATGTGTTTTTTCAACAGCAACAGCAGTAAAATTGTTGGTTCAGATTTAACTCTGGAGCAACAGAGGGTTGAAAAGGCTCTGGACATGTATGAAATGAGAACACCAGGGTAAGAATGTCATTCTTCTTCTGCTGTGAGCAAACAGCATTCAGAGTTGGGTATTGTTTCACCTTTAGAATTCCAATCCTGGTTGTTATTGATGACTCAAAACAGTTCTTTATATCAAATGAGCAAGAAAACAAGTAATATGTATTTCCTCATCAGTTAGGTTTTATTAACACTTCAGCCTATATTATAATATATGAAAGTGCGTATGCACAGAATATCAAGACGTTATGTTGTGCCTCTTTCTCTTTGCTCACATGCTGTATGGAAAGGGTCCTCTAGGATATTAATGATTTCATCCATGCAGTCAGGTCAGATTAAACTTGAAGGAGGAATACTTCAGGTCTCATTTCTTTTCGGGTTAATGCTTTTCTTAATCCTTTGTTCTGATCCTACCTGGAGGGGAAAGAACTGTATATAGTTTGAGATATGATACACCTGCTAAACAACTTAAAACTGAGTCTTTCACAATGTTTGCTGGTTTATTAAACAACTTATTTGGACCTTGTTTTGTGAAATGTTTTGTAGCTTTTCTTTCCAAGTTCAATAATAAACTTTTAAGGTCAATGAACATCATTCTGTGAAGAGTGTCTTTCATTCATTTATCTATCTGCTTGTGTTTCTAAAGGACAGTCTGTAATTCCAGTAACACTTCTGGACTTTTATTTTGAAGCCCGTTAACTCGTTTACCCCGGAAGCTGTATTCTTTACTGTCGCTAACTTCACACTGTTTGAACAAGACGGCGTCTGGTAGAAAGGTGTGTTAGCAGAGTGTCTTTGTTGTGTTTTTAAAGTGTGAACATGTCTAAAGTCCAAATGCTGAGAGCGTTGGTGAAGCAGCGACTAACTGCGGCTGCTGAAGAGATATTTGGGCTGGTTGAAAGAACGATAGCAGAGTACGAGGAGGAACTTTGTCGATCAAAAGAGGAGAACGAGCGACAACGTAAACTACTGGACGCTGTTACCAACTCTCAACTTGGGTTACACAGAGCAGGTTTGTTCATTAAACATTACAAGTTCATTATTAATGATATAACTGCAGCTTTGTTCAATAAATATTCAGTCTGTCGATGTTTATACGCCGCGTTAGCTTCTCTGGGCCCTATTTCAGAAAGCAGGATTAGTGAAAACTCTGAGTATGTTCAGCCTGAGATGAGGGAAACTCCGAGTTTTCCGTTTCACAAAGGCAGTTCAGCATAACTCTGAGTCCGTTACTATGGTAACATACTCGATGAAACAAACCTGCTGGTTCGCAGGTTTGTTTCATCTCAGCCTGAGGCTGATCGCCCGCTGAGCGTGTGGCAGGAAGGAGAGACATGGCGTGTCCTTTTGTGAATAAAGTTTTCTGATGAGCGATAAGAACTTCCTGCAACAGATATTGAGGGTAACGTCGAGCTGCTCTAATGCTGGACCACATTATTATTGATCAAGCGTCTGCACATCCGACAACACAAGACACAGAGCTTCCGCTCGAACTACTTCCTGTTACCAACCTTTCAACCTGTTACCAACCCGGAGGAGTGTCTATATGAAAGGTACAATTTCACCTCACACTCTATCATTGATCTTAAAGGGATAGTGCACTCAAAAATGAAAATTCAGCCAATATCTACTCACCCATATGCCGAGGGAGGCTCAGGTGAAGTTTTAGAGTCCTCACATCCCTTGTGGAGATCCAAGGGGAGAGTGGGTAGCAACACAACTCCACCTAATGGAGGCTGACGGCGCCCCAGATTAAAACATCCAAAAACACATAATTGAAACCACAAAATATCTCCATACTGCTCGTCTGTAGTGATCCAAGTGTCCTGAAGCCCCAACATAAAAAGTTGTTTGGAAAAACGTCATCTGAACTCTGTTTTTAGCCTCATCACAGTCTGCAATGAGGCTAAAAACAGAGTTCATCTGATATTCTCCACAAATTAACGGTAAAAGAGAACCAGTATTTGTTTGTCCACTCCAAGCTGTCGGAGCTTCCACATAAAGTAAAGTCTTTGCTGTCCTTTGCTATAGATGGCGGCTGTATTTGAGTCCCATGACAGTTGTTTATCGATTACTGTCCCTAGATATTTATATTCATTGACAACTTCAATGCTTTCACCATCAATAACTACATGTTGGTGTGTGTCTCTGCTCAGTCTGAAATGAAAAAATAATTTCTTTTGTTTTCTTGGTATTCAGCTGAAGAAAAATAGCATGACACCAATTAACAAAATCATTCACACATCCTTGATAACCTGTTTCAGCCTCAGTTATCAAACCAATAATCACTGTATTGTCAGCAAATTTAACACTGAAAACATCAGATGAGTTCGCCCTGCATTCATTCATATATAGAGGAAATAAGACTGGAGAAATGACACTCCCCTGAGGAGCCCCAGAGTTTGTGCCCAGTGTGTTTTGCCTGTTTTTGTGGTTTTCCCTGGGCATAAATCAGAAAGAATCATCAAAGAGGAATCCCACAGAACTGCAGGTTTATTACAGTTTAATTAGAAATTAATCTATGTGGATACATTATGCAATGCTTTATGAATACTATTCATATATTCAAAGATTCCACGGTGTAACTGGCTCATTTATGGGACTCAACATCCCATCATGAATCCCTTTTGTTTGAGACCATGCTGCAAGGTGAGTGTGTTTGCTGATCCTGTAAGTTTATTTATCTTCTTTAACTTCAGCTTATATTGGAGTTATGCTATGTAGCGTGTGAAATAGAGTATGGTGAATGTGCTAGGAAAGGTAGTATCAGCATTGCTTCTACCTGGAGCTCGCATGTACGGAGCCTGGGTTTGGTTGAAGGTGGCAGTGCTGTTTGGGCTGAGAAAGCCATGTGTAAGTAAGGTAAAGGAGGTTATTGGTTGCTGTGGCGAGCAGTGAGACCTGGCATTAGGGGAGTGTCTCTGGGACGCCAGAGATCACTGTCTAGCCTCCTGGAGGTGTCGTGGGACCAACTGGACGAAACACTGGTGAAAGGAGGTTCCCACCCGATGACCCCAAAGACATGTTAGTTATCACTGCTCACTGGTCTGTATAGTTAAGCCTTGCCATAATAGCTTATCATAGGGCTTAGGAGGTTATTCACCGAGTGCTGATCCTTTTCTAGAGCACAAACTTCTTGTGTTTATTTGAATTCAGAACTAGCCCAGCTAGTGACTGCTGTGAATAGGGCAGCTGACAACAAGGGAAAGACCATGTGACTGCTTGGAAAGACAGCTGACAGGAGGGAAAAGACCCCAAAGGTGCTGGCATGGGTTAGCAACCCATGGTAGCAGTGGTGAGGCCTAGCAGCCTTACTACAACCAAAATTAGCTACAGCCAACATAGGGAAAATACCCCAAGAGTCAGCGAGAGCAGGGGTGGAAGATGACTCACAGGTGGATTACACGGTAACAGACATTGGAACGGACNTGAGTCATTCACAATGTTTGCTGGTTTATTAAACAACTTATTTGGACCTTGTTTTGTGAAATGTTTTGTAGCTTTTCTTTCCAAGTTCAAGAATAAACTTTTAAGGTCAATGAACATCATTCTCTAAAGAGTGTTTTTCATTCATTTATCTATCTGCTTGTGTTTCTAAAGGACAGTCTGTAATTCCAGTAACACTTTTGGACTTTTATTTTGAAGTCCCTTAACTCGTTTACCCCGGAAGCTGTATTCTTTTCTGTCGCTAACGTCACACTGTTTGAACAAGATGGAGTCTAGTGGAAACGTGTGTTAGCAGAGTGTCTTTGTTGTGTTTTCAAAGTGTGAACATGTCTAAAGTCCAAATGCTGAGAGCGTTGGTGAAGCAGCGACTAACTGCGGCTGCTGAAGAGATATTTGGGCTGTTTGAAAGAACGATAGCAGAGTACGAGGAGGAACTTTGTCGATCAAAAGAGGAGAACGAGCGACAACGGAAACTACTGGACGCTGTTTTCAAGCCTCAGCTTCGGTTACACAGAGCAGGTTTGTTCATTAAACATTACAAGTTCATTATTAATAATATAACTGCAGCTTTGTTCAATAAATATTCAGTTTGTCGATGTTTATACGCCGCGTTAGCTTCTCTGGTGTCGTTAGCTTCTCTGGTGTCGTTAGCTTCTCTGGGCCCTATTTCAGAAAGCAGGATTAGTGAAAACTCTGAGTATGTTCAGCCTGATGAAGGAAACTCCGAGTTTTCCGTTTCACAAAAGCAGTTCAACATAACCCTGAGTCGGTTACTATGGTAACATACTCAGTGGAACAAACCTGCTGGTTCGCAGGTTTGTTTCATCTCGGCCTGAGGTAGCCTTGGACCTTGAAAACGAACCCCGTTTTTCGTGTGGGGGTTCCCGGTCTAGACTGATTCACGTCTCCATAAACGTTCAAATCAAGCATGTAACGTACTCACCTCATAGGCACAGATGTTAGGAAGGTGTACGGGGGTTGCCGTGCGTTTGTATATCCGTTATTGTTCAATAAACATGCATTTTATCTCGGGACGTCTTGAAATTTTCTTCACCCTTTCTTCGTCCTGCAATGAATGAGTGCACCGGCTTTCTACTGCGCCACAGCGCCAGGATAGCGGTTGGGAGGTGAATTGCACATTGGTAGTAAGTCTTGGTCCAAGGCTAGAGCGTCTTACTGCCAATGTGCAATACACCTCCCAACCGCTATCTTGGCGCTGTGGCGCAGTAGAAAGCCGGCTAAGAGTTTGTTCAGTCTGCTTTGTGAAAAAGGGCCCCGGTGTTGTTCGCTTCTCCGATGTTGTTGCCTTCTCTGGTGCTGTTTGCTGTTATTCCCCCCAGCTTTCATGCATTGGTTGTTTTTTTTCTTGTTTGGATATTTCATATGGACAAACATGCTCTGTAACAATCTAGTGGGATTTCTAAATTCATGAGGGGCACAGGTATCATGTTTGCTTCCTGATTTCCACATATGTATTCTTTGTTTATCTGTGTTTATTTACCTTATTTTGAAATGGGGACAAAACTTGTGTGATGATTTTCCTTAATCTGGCATCTCTTTTGACCTTTCTTCAGTGAATTGATGTGAAAGTGTTGTCTTAGTCATTGGGAGAGACAACCATCAGATACAGGTTAATCTCTATTGTTGAGCNCTCTTTTGACCTTTCTTCAGTGAATTGATGTGAAAGTGTTGTCTTAGTCATTGGGAGAGACAACCATCAGATACAGGTTAATCTCTATTGTTGAGCTCTCTTGTGGCCAAATCCTGCAATTGCATTTGTGGAAAGACATACAAACACAGAGAATTGTAATGTTCAGACATTGTGCCTCTTTAGAAGGATCACATATTCGGCCCCTTAAAATCACAGCTAGGTAAATCAATCAATATTTATGAAGCCCAATATCACAAATCACAATTTGCCTCAGAGGTCTTTACAGCATATTAAATCCCTGTGTCCTTGGACCCTCACAGCGGATAAGGAAAAACTCTCAGGCAGTCACACTTTTCCTCCAAAACTTGACAATATTCAACATGAAATTTCTCATGAATTCAATATTTTTTAGACATCAGTAACAGCAGCTGGTTGTGATGATGCATCTTTCATTTCTCGAATGCAAAATTTACAGATAAAATAGAACTTCATTTTGGGCTGTAGAGCTTTCTGCAGTATCTTAGTGGTATGAGCACAGCTTTAGTTGAAACAGAATGGATCCGCGATTACATGTTTAAACAATTAAATGTCTGCCCCCTTGCTAGTTGGCACCAGAAATATTAGTGGGTAAACCAATTAGTGTTTTATTCATGTAGAAGGCCTCTTAAATGTCATGCAGCCTCCCACCACTAGTGGGTGCTACAGATTTTTCAGACAGCAGTTTCCCTCCCCGGGTAATGCTCGAGCAGACTGGAGTTATAAAACTGCATGGTGGGAAATAAGGGCAATGTCCTCGCCAAATTAGCACAGTTTGGCAGTACTTTGATGTAGAAAATGAATTCAGCAGCAATTAATCTTTTTTGAGTAGTAAGTTGTCAGACAGTGTGCAGGTTTACATTCATACTGCACGGAGCAAAAGGCCTCTCATTTCAGCTGAAATTTAATTATATTTTTTTTATAATTAATTATAATTTAATTTCTGTCATTTATGTTCTGTGCCCCACATTTCAGAGGCAGTTTATTTATTTTTTATTTTAGTGGTTATCTTTTGACTGAGTTGCCATTATGTTCACATTCATAGCGCACAACGCAAAGTGTCTTGTACTTCAGTGGCATTTAAAATCCGCCATGGTTGTTGAAGATTGTGATTAAAGGCTTCAGAGGGCTCTTGATGCACACAATATTTTTGGGACAATGTTTCAAATACTTAACAATAAATTGTGCTAAATTTTGTCTGTTTTCTGAGTGTTTTCCCTTTTTCAGACTAGTTTACTAGTCCTTGTTAAAATTTTTGTTAAGTGGACAGGAACATCCCTACCATTCGCTGTTTGGGCGAGGTTGTGGTTAGGGGGAAACAGAGTTCGATGGGCAAACTCATTGACACAACACCAGCATCTTATTTACTCAGGCTGCCAGTTATCAAACCTGATTCACAGCAAACTCTCGCCTCCCATGGACAATCATTCTCACATAATTCACTTCAGCCTGAGCAAATAAAGAGCCACACTGCAGCCTCCAGACATGACAAGAATAACAGTCCATGTTAATGATTGCTCTGTGTGTGTGTGTGCGGATATGTTAACAATTTCCGACCGGCCACCGTCAGCCCATCAACCGGCCGTTGCCGATATATTCGGCAGTTGTGTGTGTGGCGGAGAAAAAAAAAGAGGGGGGATGTTGCATTCGTGTGACGTCGGAAAGAATCGAAAAATGACATTCAGAATGGGATAATTCACATTAACGCCACCTCATGTCAGAAAAACAACTTGGCAACTTGGATCTCCCAACACCACATGAATGCAGCAAAAAAATGCAGCGTGCTTTGCGAGCCCACTCATGTCCAACATGGCACAGAAATATCTGTGCATACCGGCAAAAAGCACGCCATCAGAGAGGGTGTTTAGCACGGCTGGTAACATTGTTAACCATATGCGCATATGAATTCACGTTACGGCCGGGTTCCACCGGCTGCAAACGTCAAGCGTCTTGTTTACCGTTTGCTGAGCCATGATAGTTGAAGCATTTTCCACCTAAGTTATTACATATATTTGAGTAATCTACAAGTTTACTATACTGTTTGTCATCTACTCGCTTTCAAATGTCCGCCACGGACATTTACACTATGTCACGGATAAACATGGGTAAATGCATGAAAATGAAAATCATCACATATCACCTCTGATAATGGTTTATTCATTTAAAAACACATTGTGCTCATTTAGCACACTATTTCATGTAGTTTTTATCTGCTGGAGGGTTGCGTAGGGGAGCGTAGCGCAACAAAAATAGAAGAACATCCTAAAATAGAGAGGTGTCGCGCAGCAGACGGGGGTTGTAGCGCTGCTGCCGTTGCCGATGCCGTTGCCGATGCAGCTGCTGTAATTGATTAACGGGGACAAGCTGCTACGGGACTCGCGCTGCAGACGTGTTGCACGGCTCCCGTTGCCGGTGGACCCCGGCCGTAACTTTCAGCTCCGCCATCACTGACGTGTTTTGTGAAAGACTCGTCGGAAATCAGTGTGAAGCTGCCAGTTCCAATACGCACACACTTTGAATTGTGCTCTACATAGTTATTATGGACTATATGTACCGAGTTTAATTCTGTGGAGACAGACCATTAATTTAGCAAAATAAAATGACAAAAATCGCCAAAAATGAAACCAACCATGATGGACTCAGCCGATGGGCGATTGGCGATATTTTCGTCCAATCACCCAAGCCTAGTGTGTGTTGTGTTTCCTGTTTCCTGTTTCCTGCAGACGTCCAGCAGCTGCCGGTGGTTAAAGAAGAGGTTCCCCCTGAGCAGCAGGAGTGGAGCTCCAGTGTGGACCAGGAGGGCCCAGAGCCTCCACACATTAAAGAGGAACAGGAGGAACTCTGGATCAGTCAGGAGGGAGAGCAGCTTCAAGGGCTGGAGGAGGATGATATCATCAAGTTCACATTCACTCCTGTCCCTGTGAAGAGTGAAGATGATGAAGAGAAACCTCAGTCCTCACAGCTTCATCAAAGACACACTGAACAGATGGAAACAGAAGCAGAGGGAGAGGACTATGGAGGAGCAGAACGAGCCAGGAACTCAGATCCAGATACACATTTCCAACCAGAGAATGATGACGAGACTGGAGAGTCTTCTGAACCTGAGACTGATAGCAGTGATAGTGATTTGGTGGAAACAAGAGAACCACAGTCAGGTTTAAACTGTCTGAAAAATGAAGTCCCAGTCAGTGATATAACTGCTGATGAGAAACGATTTAGTTGCTCTGAGTGTGGGAAAAGATTCGGTCGCAATGGAGATCTTAACAGACACATGAGATCACATACAGGAGAGAAACCATTTAGTTGCTCTGAGTGTGGGAAAAGATTTAGTCAAAGTGGAACTCTGAGGGTACACATGCGATCTCATACAGGGGAGAAACCATTTAGTTGCTCTGAGTGTGGGAAAAGATTTAGTCAAAGTGGAGTTCTGAGAGTACACGTGAGATCTCATACAGGGGAGAAACCATTTAGCTGCTCCGAGTGTGGGAAAAGATTTAGTCGAAATTATCATCTGAACAGACACATGAGATCGCATACAGGAGAGAAACCATTAAATTGCTCCGAGTGTGGGAAAAGATTTATTCAAAGTGGAGCTCTGAGGGTACACATGAGATCTCATACAGGAGGGAAACCATTTAGTTGCTTTGAGTGGGAGAAGATGTGTTTGCAGTAAAAAAATTAAAAAGACACGACATCTCACACAGGAGAGAAACCATTTTGTTGCTCTGATTGTGGGAAAAGATTTCAGTGCAGGGAAGATCTGAATAGACTCATTAGATGTCAGATCTTCAGTCACAGTGAAGTTCTGAGGGTCCACATGAGATCTCATACAGGGGAGATGCCATTTAGCTGCTCTGAGTGTGGGAAAACATTTGGTTACAGTAGTGTTTTAAAGATACACATGAGGGCTTATACTGGAGAGAAACCATTGCGTTGCTCTGAGAGTGGGAAAAGATTTGGTCAAAGTGGAAATCTGACGGTAAACATGAGATCTTATACAGGAGAGAAACCATATTACTGCTCTTAATGTGGGAAAACATTTGGTTACAGTAGTGTTATGAAGATACATATGAGATCTCATACAGGAGAGAAACCATTTAGCTGTTTAATTTGTGGAAAATTGTTTACACAATGTGGATATTTACATGCACACATGAGGAGAACTCATGATGGGGAAAACTGATTCAGCTATTCAGTGTGAAAAATTATATTTTATTTGGAAAAAGACTGTAAAAAAAAACATGAGAACTCGTACAGGACAAACACTTTTCAGCTTCAGTGTTTGTATGAAATCTTTTACACAAACTGGACATGTTTTGTTTGTTAGTCTGCACAGCCTCATCAAACTCAAACTGAGGAGAGCAGAGAGGCAGAGCCTCCAGCCAGCAGCTCAACTACACCGATGGAACCAGAAGTTAACAGAGAGGACTGTGGAGGACCAGAATCAGCCAGATACAAATTTTCAACCTGAGACTGATGATAAGACAGAAGACTCTTCTAAACCTGTGACTGATGACAGTGATAATAGTTGGAAGGAGACCAGAGAACCTCTGTCAGTCAGTCATGTGACACTCAATACTAACCAAAAACAATTAAGTTACTCAGTGTGGGGTAAAAAGATTTGTCTGTCAGAGATGCTCAGTTTTTACAGTCCACAGTTCCTCTGCATAGTTTCTGCCATCTTTCCTTCTCTCATATTTATGTGCAGCAGCACTGTGCAGTCAAGGGCTGGGCCGTGGGCTGATGCGGACAGGCACATCAGAGGGGACGCCACTGAGCGACCTTCATGACTCAGCCTTCATTTGTAATTGTGTTATCAGCTTTACACTCCCAGTTTGGAGAAGCAGACAAGAGAACTGGCATGGTTAGGTCGCTTCCCAAAGTCACACAACAACAGAAACTAACTGTCCAATCGAAGGGCAGCTGAAGACCAGTGACTCATTGTGTTCTGTGAGGTAAAATTACTGATTCTGTCAGTGGAGTCTGGTTGCTTTTAGGAGAGCACCATGCAACTGCATCAGTTTGCCATTGTAAAGGGACTGTCTGACAGCAAGGTGAGGTGTTGAAAATACTCTTAACAAAGTGTTCTTTTACACTGGTGATCCTTTTTTTTTCATGTGGTAAAGATATTTTTTGCTGCTGCCCCCGTCCGGTCACCAGACTCCTTTGATAGAAACAGCAAATTTTTTCTGCCTGGCTCTCATGCCAATTTTTTGTCTCCTCTGTGTCCCTTCTCTAACTTCAGAGGATTTTACGGGTTCAGAAACGCAGCGCAGACGGAAGTCTTCATGATTTTTAAAAATAAATAATTCCTCCCTCCCTATTTTAAAAAGGAACAGCCAGGGGTTTAAATATAGATAGTACAGGTAGTGCAGTTGCACTGGACCTTGCAAATGATTCAGATTTCCACTTCGGAACTACAGCTGTGTTTCTAAAGAAAAGAAAAAAATCCCATTACATTAATAATGGTGCCATATGCTACAGGCTATTTGACCTGAAACATGCCAACACATCTCTGTCATAATTTTCTTTTTTTCTTTTCTCTCCTTTTTGTAAAATAGTCAGTAGCAATCTACAACAAAATGATATGCTGATTCTACATGAACCCGAAAATCCATGAATAAACTATATGTATTTAAAAATGATTCAATTAAATGAATAATTTCTTATGTCTTTGACACTGTTGTCATGTACAGGCATGCAATGATGATTGTTGAGTAACATGTATGTTGATGTTGCCTAGTGTCAAGTCTCTATTTGGTCATGTGACAAGTTAATACAATTTACAGTTTCTAGTTTCGGTGCAAAATCTGTCAAGACTGACAAGCTGAGCACATCTACAAGTCCACTAAGCAGTCATGCCTTTGTAAGATAAAAGCAGCAGTAAAAAAGGACAAGAGAGGGCTGAAGATAGATAGATATAATAAAGGCTCATTATTCATTTTCACCTGTTAAAAACATAAAATGTGGGCGTTTTAATTTTTTGTGAAATAGTGGCTTTTGTTTGTAAAAATATAAATGATTTAAAGTATGTTGAATGTGAAGGGAGAATATAACATGAGCAATATGTTATCTAAAGTAAAAACAACTCTTACCTGTGTTTTAAAGGGATCTGTCGTCATCTAGTGGTCAAAAGGAGGAAGCTGATATTGACCCACGGGTGAAAACAATCATTTAGGGATTTTTCAAAGCACAGCCACTCCACCTGTGTGAACGAAAGGGAGTGTGGAGGAAAGAAGCATCAGGAAATTTGTATTAAAGCTCTGTGTTGCAGTTTTTTGCCCAAGAGAACCTCAGACATGTTGGACAGATGTTTAACTCTGAGAGACATTTGGGGAATTTTACCCCATCTGGTCAAGAGCTCCACAGGAGTCCTCCTTTGATGACTGTCACCAAACACCTGGATTTTTCTAATGAAGATTCAAAGCAGGATCGCGAGGAACCACAGCAGAATATAGAGGTATAAGAATTATTACTCTGCCCGTCTTTATCAAACAGTATCTCATTTACAGGCAGAGCAGAGATCAAGATGATCAGCAAAACACACTGTTTGATTTCAACCCAAACTCATGAAAGATCTGCAGGTAATTTGGGCTTCCTCACTGGCTGCTGCTTGATTACAATCATTGCTGTATAGAGTTTACTGAGGTGGCAGTGTGCTGATGCACTGCGATATTTGGGCTGTCTTCAGGGTGAGTTGGAGGAGCTGCAAAGGTTGTTACAAAATGAAAAGACGGACTTGGAACAGACACGTGGTTGCAGGGACACGCACTTGGCTCAACAAACTCAAAAAGGTGTGTTCTCAGTGACTTCAGCTTGCTATAAAAATATCTTAACTCAAGGTCAACAGAGGTTGTTTTTTTTTTTTTAATTCAAAAAGCAGCCAACTGATGATTCCTTGAAGCTCTCTTTCTTAATACCATCACAAGAGCTATGGACGGATTATAAGACAATGGGTCCCTGGGCACAGGCATGCAAAAGGCCCCACCACCTCTCATACACAGGGCACTCCAATTTTGTGGTAGTTTAGCCTCTTTTTGTGGTCCAAACCAACCTGTCTGTAGTTTTGTGTTTCTTATGGCAATTTTGTGTCTCTTTGTAGTTCTTTTGAATCAGTCATCATTTCCGCTCTTTGTAGTCATTTTGCTTTTCTTTGTGGTAATTTTGTGTCTTTGGTTCTTTTAAGTCAATGGTTGTTTCCCTCTTACTGCAGCTATTTCGCTTAAAATAATGTATTCAAGAACAGAAACTTAATTTCATTCTACTGTGCAATTCATATGCAGTGACCACGCTGTGACACACATGAGAATCCCCAAAGAGGAGAAACTCTTCAGCCACTCTGTGTGCGGGAAAAGTGTTCAAAGGCAGCCACATGACAAAGGTCATATATGTGTTTTTTCAACAGCAACAGCAGTAAAATTGCTGGTTCAGATTTAACTCTGGAGCAACAGAGGGTTGAAAAGGCTCTGGACATGTATGAAATGAAAACACCAGGGTAAGAATGTCATTCTTCTTCTGCTGTGAGCAAACATCATTCAGAGTTGGGTATTGTTTCACCTTTAGAATTCCAATCCTGGTTGTAATTGATGACTCGAAACAGTTCTTTATATCAAATGAGCAAGAAAACAAGTAATATGTATTTCCTCATCAGTTAGGTTTTATTAACACTTCAGCCTATATTATAATAAATGAAAGTGCGTATGCACAGAATATCAAGACGTTATGTTGTGCCTCTTTCTCTTTGCTCACATGCTATATGTAAAGGGTCCTCTAGGATATTAATGATTTCATCCATGCAGTCAGGTCAGATTAAACTTGAAGGAGGGAGACTTCAGTGGCCTCATTTATAAAGCTTGCTTACGCACAAAACGGGGCTTGAAAGTGGCGCAGCCACTTCCCACGCAAAGGTTGTGATTTATAAAAATAAACTTGGCGGGAGAATGTGCGCACCTATCAGCAAACTCTGAGTCATGCGTGCGCACATTTTGGAGACACTGGGAAGTGGCAACGCAGACGGCAAGGTGGAGAAGTGGAGTCAGATTTTTATTGATGTCTCAATGTCACGCTATATCCACCTATCATTGAAATTTAATCAAGCAGCCTTATTTTGCGCTTGGAGTGAGTGATAATTGTTTCATAAAAACGTTGTAAAATCCAACTCAAATCCTGAATTGAAATTCTTTATAAATACGTATTTAATCCGCACTGCCTCTAACGTCTCATTGTCCACTCTGTGAGCGCAGGAGGGGGAGAGGACGGCGCGACTGCAATGAATATATTTATTTATTTAGCTAAATATTTCCAGTGCATTTATCATGTCTCGAAATACAGCCATTAAGCACAACCGTTACAGTCATTTCATCAGCCCTACTTAGACATTTGCTGTTCATGACAAATACGGCATGAAGAAACATGTTCGCCTATTACACTTTCATCTTTGAATTGTATTTCAAATTACACGTTGTATTTTGGGACAGGGATACCACTGGTTCATGCTGTAATTCAGGCCAGGTGTCTGATCAGACTAATTGCCACAAACATATAAATACTGCGGTGACCCTCGTGCGTAATAGCGCAAGATGGCACATACTCCTTTTTGCCTCCACCTTTAATAAATGTGATTCTTATGTCGCACATCAGTGTCAAACATCCTCAAATTTAAAAGCAACACATTAACTACATGTTGGTAAAGGAGTAGAAATATTTGGTCTACCTTTAGATCAGACCACTTTTTTGTTCTCTGTCACTGTCCGTGCAGTCCCACAGACACAGCTGACAGCATCAGCAGCGTTGATGTGTTGCCACTTTTTTGCTTTCTTTTATTAGTGATCCCGCTGCTGTGGCCACCAAATAAAATCCTTCTTCAGTCCTCCACCTCCCGTTAAAGGGTCTCTAGCTCAGTCTCGGAGAAATTCCGTTTTTTGGTTCGTTTCTCAAACCTGTCGCCGTAACTCACAACGAGAGAACACTCGCATGCAGCTTATTTATATGCAGATCGCATTCATGAGGTGATTTGCATGACCATTTATGGTTGAACTAGGGCGTGTAGAGGGCGGAATATGAGGCGGATCTGGGTGCGCACAACTCCAGGAGGTCTGTGATTTATAAAGAGAACATTGCATTCAAGTGTGCGTGCGCACGGTTTTTTGGCGCACGCCATTTTCAGCTTTGGGGGGCACGTCAAATTTTAGTATGAATCCTAAGCACTCTTTTATAAATGAGGCCCCAGGTCTGATATTTCTTTTAGGGTTAATGCTTTTCTAAATCCTTTTGTCCTGATCCTACCTGGAGGGGAAAGAACTGTATACAGTTTGACATAAGAAGCACTTCCTGAACAACTTTAAATTGAGTCATTCACAATGTTTGCTGGTTTATTAAACAACTTATTTGGACCTTGTTTTGTGAAATGTTTTGTAGCTTTTCTTTCCAAGTTCAAGAATAAACTTTTAAGGTCAATGAACATCATTCTCTAAAGAGTGTTTTTCATTCATTTATCTATCTGCTTGTGTTTCTAAAGGACAGTCTGTAATTCCAGTAACACTTCTGGACTTTTATTTTGAAGCCCATTAACTCGTTTACCCCGGAAGCTGTCTTCTTTACTGTCGCTAACTTCACACAAGACTATTCAAGAGAATGTTTGGGAATTTATAAATGATTTGAAAATGTTTGTTTTTGCAATAGAATTTAACTATTATGGCGAAACTGATAATCTGTGCTCTGACTTAACAGCAAAATATATTGTAATAATATCTAGTGTAACACTGAAGGATGATTCTCAGAATCAAAACCAATGACAACAGCCCTAGTTCTTTACCAGAGGCATTAGTTAAGGTTAGCTACCTTATTAAAGAAGAAAAACAAACTAAAATGATACTGAAAAAAAGAGCTCATAGACACATTTTGACATATTCCAGTATTCAAATATTCTCAGTTTCATTATTGTCTTGATGTCACACACCACAAAACACAGGAACAATTGCAGGACAAAAATGATTTATTTTGCGTTTTCACACACAAACAGTCACCACACAAATAACAAATGAACTAAAAGTCTGAGGAATAGCTTTGTGCTGGAAACATCACACAGCAAAACAAGAGCTATTTGATCTGGCTCCATTTGGTTGGTTCTGGGATATGTGCATGCATGTCATTTTCACAGCTTATTATTGGACTGTCACTGGTGGCCTGCGTTGTGAGTGAGAATGACAGAGATGTGATTCCGACAACTTCAGGCATCCGCCGTCCAAAAGTCCAAGCAGACCGCACCAAGCACACTCCTTGATCGCCTGAGCGGATCCTGCTCTTTTTATCCTGCGCCCCTGCTGTCACCCTCCAGCATCGCAGCTCAAGTTACACTGCGCATGTGCAATCCCCCCATGTTTGACCCCGTGTCCCAGCCTTCTCTTGAATAGTCTTGACTTCACACTGTTTGAGCAAGATGGCGTCTGTTGGAAACCTGTGTTAGCGGAGTGTCTTTGTTGTGTTTTTAAAGTGTGAACATGTCTAAAATCCAAATGCTGAGAGCGTTGGTGCAGCAGCGACTAACTGCGGCTGCCGAAGAGATATTTGGGCTGGTTGAAAGAACGATAGCAGAGTACGAGGAGGAACTTTGTCGATCAAAAGAGGAGAACGAGCGACAACGGAAACTAATGGACGCTGTTTTCAACCCTCAGCTTCGGTTACACAGAGCAGGTTTGTTCATTAAACATTACAAGTTCATTATTAATAATATAACTGCAGGTTTGTGCAATAAATATTCAGTCTGTCGATGTTTACACGCCGCTTTAGCTTCTCTGGTGTCGTTAGCTTCTGTGGTGTCGTTAGCTTCTCTGGTGCCGTTAGCTTCTCTGGTGCCGTTAGCTTCTGTCCTGCCGTTAGCTTCTCTGGTGTCGTTAGCTTCTGTGGTGCCGTTAGCTTCTCTGGTGTCGTTAGCTTCTGTGGTGCCGGTAGCTTCTCTGGTGTCGTTAGCTTCTCTGGTGTCGTTAGCTTCTGTCCTGCCGGTAGCTTCTCTTGCGTCGTTAGCTTCTCTGGTGTCGTTAGCTTCTCTGGTGTCGTTAGCTTCTGTGGTGCCGTTAGCTTCTCTGGTGTCGTTAGCTTCTGTCCTGCCG